GCCGGGGGGGGCGGGGGGCAAAAGACCCTGCCAGTCTGCCCGGCAACCAGTGATGCATTTCAAATTGGTTGGATGGCAGCCAACAGGTACTGGCCTCCATTGGACCAGGTAAATGAGGTCATAAGTGCTATATAAGTTAAGGACTGCCCAGGAGGTAGGAGGCAGTAGCCATGAGGAAGACTCAGAGAGAAGAGCTGAATCATCTGAAACTTGCTGTCTCTCAAAACTCATGATCAAGGAACTGCCTGCCTCCAGAGGGAATCTCCATCTGCCTCTGGATGATACTTGTGAGTAACCTACCTGAGATCTAACTAGATATATTGCTTGCAGTAACTCAGATGCATGATCAAAGGCTACCCAGCCATGCCAATTCACTCTGTGGGATTTCTCTGATATTGCTCTACCCTGTACCCTATTGCAACCCTACCCCTTGTAACCAATAAAGTTCTCCTTTGTACCTAGCATGGGAAATTTATTGGGTGTGGGTCTAGATTATGCCTTGGGGTCCCCTTGGTTCAGCTGACTAAGGGAGACCACTACTTGTGCTTCCTACTGAGAGAAGCACCCCCAAGTGCTTGAAGTGAGTCAAGTCCCCTCAAGGGCTACTAGGTCTCTGTTTCCCAGGATGCACAGAGCCAGAACAAAGCCCAGCCCTGGGTGGTGGCAGTTTTTACCCCAGGCTAGTGGGTGTGCTCCAGGAGTGGGGTTGGCCAGACATGACGCACCCCCAGGGAGGCACTCGGAGCCTGGAAGGTGGTCGGGCACAGTGAGGTGGGTGGCTCAACACAGGAGCACCCCCTACTGGCCCACCACAGGCTGTAGCCTGTAGCCTGTTGGGGGGCTGTAGCCCCTACTGAGGGCCGTGGCCTGGGGGGTCAGTCCGTGAGCTGCGCAGGGGAGCTGCTCCCTTCCGGGGGCAGGGGACCCACCCCTCTTGACCAGCCCCCCTCATGTGCCCCCCACACCCACAGTCTCCCCACAATCCACCCATAAACCCCTCACCCACATACCTGGCCCTGTGGGTCAAGAGTGAGGGGACTGGGGTGGGAGGCAGGCTGTGGGTTGAGAGTGAGGGGCAAGGGCAGGGGCAGGGCACTAGTATATCAGTGCTGCTCAGTGCTGCACAACCTTGGGTAGGGGCAGCTCTGATTTTTCTATGACAAAAAAGCCAGAAGTCAATGCTAAATTGTATAGATATTTAGAATTTATTTTATTATGATGATAGATGCACTGGTAGGCTTCCAAATTACTTTAAAATTGTGAATATGTCAATAAAACAGAGGCCAACTGATTTTGCAGTTTTTAAATAGAGAACACCATTATTCCTTCTAGTGAGGCAAGTGGCAGGACCCAGGCAAAGGAGCCTGCTCAGAGCTAGCACCCAGGACCCAGCTGGAGGTGACTGACATCCTGGCCACTTGGGGCCAAGAGGACATGCTTTGACAGTTCAAAGCAGGCCACCACACTGAGAATATCTTCCGGGTGATAGCTGCCCAGATGGCTGGGGGTGGCACATGTGGCAGTAGTGCCATACAAAGGCCAACTGTGCTGCCACAGCCCACTGGCAGCTGGCCCAGAGGTGCAGATGCCTCTAAGGACCATGCAGTTCCCATCTGGGTCTGGCAGGCATGCAGCCTTGGGGCCACATGCTGTGGCAGGGGGGGGGCCAGTCACAGACAGGCCGCCGGCCCCACTCATAGGTGGCAGCAGGTCACAGCCAGGCAGCAGCCCCCACTGCTGGACTGCTGCAGTGGGTAGAGGGTTCAGGGAACTCTCAGGGCTGCTTCAGCAGCCCAGCTGGCCCAAGGGGTAGTGTCCACAGGTACCAACTGGCTGGGCCCCAGAAGCTCCTGAGAGTGAGTAACCCTGAGCTACTTGCCAGGGCAGCTTTTTATACTGCTGGGGCCAGGACAGGTGCTGGCCACAGACTAGCTACTCCTGGCTGCAGATCCAGGAGGAGCCAAGCAGGGTTATTTTGTCCCAAGTGGCACAACTTGCACCACAACAAAGTGCATGTCCGGGCGTGTGCACTGAGGCAAAGAGCCCCGGCTCAAATTTGTACCCCTTCTATTTGAGCTACTGCAAACCCTGCATGTGTGGACGCACCGAGTGTACAGATTGTAAACAATGGAGTGGGAAATGTGTCAGGTACTTTTCATCTGTTGAGCTATGGAATCATTTCAAAGACCTGAAAATGATTTCTATTCAGCAGTAGGCTTGGAGTGTTGTTATAGCCAGAAAGGTCCAGGAAATATGTGATAACCAAGTTTTTTATCTTTTTGTTGGGCTAGTTGTATAGTTGGGAGAGGTGTTAGACAAGCTTTGGGCACAAGTGTCCTTCTTCAGGTTACAGGAAAGAGTAATGTAATTAAAGAAATTTCTCCAAAGTATAGCCAGAAAATAAAGGGCCCTGAAACTTATTATATCATAACATCTAGTCGTTGAAAGAAAAAGGCTGAGAAATATAGATGTTGGAAGAGTTTATAATTAATCATTTGAGTTTTTCATAGATCCAAGCCAATATGTCAGATTAAATCTGATACATTATTGCATTTCTATTGAAAATTACTAGTCTAGCATGATGGCACAGCTTTATACTTCTACTTGCCTGATCTAAGCAGATTTGGA